AGACAGGGTTTCTCTATGTAGCTTTGTGCCTTTCCTGGATCTCGCTCTGTAGACCAGGCTGGCCTCAAACTCACAAAGATCCACCTGCCTCTGCCTCCCAAGTGCTGGGATTAAAGGCATGCACCACCACTGCCCGGTGTGGATGACTTTTATTACATGAATCACACCTCAATCAAAAAGATGAAGGATAAGTTAGGCTACAAAGGAACTATGAACAGAAGACGGGGCAGGGCCTGGTGGTGCAGGCCTGTAATCACAGCTATTCAGGAGCCTAGTATAGGGAGACCACAAGTTCAAGGCCAGACTGGGCTGGAGAGTGAGATCAAGACAATGTAGTGAGACCCTTTCCCAAAAAATAAAATGAGTTGGGAAACCATGCATGATGGTCCAGGCCTATCATCACAGCGCCTGGGTGTCTGAGGCAGAGGATTACAAGTTCAAGATTGCTATTGGCTACACAATGAGTTCTAGGTCAGCCTGGGAAACATGATATCTTCTCTCAAAATTAAAAAAAAAAATAAAGTAGGAATGTAGATCACTTGCCTAGCATGCATGAAGCCCTGTATTGAAAAAGAATACAACAAAAAACCCAAAAGACAAAAAACAAAGGGAGAGGGCTGGAACACCATGAGGAGTAGAACAATTCTGCAGTAACCAGAGCCTTTTCTTTTAGGGCCTGTGGGCTAGGGTGGGATTTTAGAAAGGGTCCTTTGCCTACTATGTGCAGTTAAATCTAACACGTTCTTCCCCCTTCCCTCTCTATTCATTGTTTTTTGTTTACAAGCACCATCACCATGCCCAATTTTGCGTGGTGCTGCAGTCAGAGCCCAGGGCCTAGAGCATGCTGGATGAGCAATCTGCTACTTGAGCTGCAGCCCTGGTCCTGGCTGAGAATTCCCTTTTCTTCCCCAATTAAAACATTTAATTAATTAGTAGTGTGTATGTGTGTGTGTCACAGCATGTATGTGGATGTCCAAGGACCATTTGTGAGAGTCGGTTGTGTGCTCGCACCATGTGCATCCCTGGGATTGAACTCAGGCTGTCAGGTTTGCTGGTAAATGCCTTTACCTACGGAGCCATCTCTCCAGCTTTGAGCATTCTCTTTTCATTTTTTAGATTCATCTTATGAGTATGAGTGTTTGGCCTGGATGTATGTATGTGCACCTGCTGCCCTTGGATGTCAGAAGAGGATGTTGTACTCTCTGAAACTGGAGTTAAGGATGGTTGTAAACCATCAAGTGAGTGCTGGGAACCGAACTCTGAAAGAGCAACAAATCCTCTTAACCTCTAACCATCTCTTTAGCTCCACCTTAAGCATGCTTATTATGAAATCTGTCAACCTTGTTCTACCATCCTGAATTTTTTCCTCTGAAAATACTCCCGAACCCCAGTTCAATATACATATTCTTCCCATATATGTGTGTGCGCATGCACAGGATGGAGGGGCACATTCATATGCAATAGGATTCATGCAGAGGTTGATATCAGGTATCTTCCTCAGTTGCTCACATTATAGATAGAGGCAGGAATTCTCACTTAGTTCTGGAGTTCATCTACATTGCTAGCCTATCTAGACAGCTGGGATTACAGGTGGCCCCGAACACCCAGCAGGCATTTAGGTGGGTACCAGGGATCTGACCTCCAGTCCTCACACTTACACGTCACATGCCTTAACCACTGGGCTGTCTTCTCAGCCCCCAACACACATTCTCTGGCAATGGCTTCTGTCCTTGCCTGCTCTATAAGTTTGTGAACGATGGGAGGACAAAGCAATATCTTTCTGCTCTAAGCCCTTAATGTACTATTAACATTTGGCAAGTACTCAGTAAACATCTGTTGAGTGAATGAAGACAAAAATTCCCATGTGGTTTAGTTAGGTGATCAGGGTCAGCAGCAACAGTAACCTCACAAGGATATCACATGCCCTTGACAGGAGGTGATGGGGAGGGGTGCTTCAATTCTGTGGTTTTTCTCCACTGAAGTCATTGTCTTACTCTAACATGAGACAAACACCAGACAGGTCCTGATGAAGGGATACTGCATGAAATATCAACGAGGCCTCTTGTCTGTCAAGGTCATCAAAAACAAGGGCATTATGAGGAAATGCCATAGCCCATAGGAGCTGGAGGAGATGTGATAACTAAGGACAGAACATGGAAATTAGAGGTAGGTGGGGAGATGGATCAATGGGTAAAGTATGAGTTGTGCAAGCATGAGGACCTGACTTTGAATCCCCAGAACCCTTGTAAAGCTGGACAAGTCATGCCTGTCTGTAATCCTAGCAATCCAATGGCAACACAGGAGGTAGAGACATGAGAATCCACAGAAGCTCTTGGGCCCAGCTAGCATAATAGCAAGAGACCATGTCTTAAACAAGATGGGAGGTGTGGTCAGGTGTTGGAGGCTGTCATTACTTCCACATGCACAAAGTGGTATGTACCTGCATGCCTGAACACATACATCATGCAGTCATACACATCACATACATTGATACAATAAACAAAAAAGTGTATTAACAAATAAGGGTGTTGGGCTGGAGAGACTGCTCAGCAGTTAAGAGCTTTTGTTGCTCTTCCAGAGGACCTGAGTTAGGGTTCTAGTATCCAGGTCGGTCAGCTTTCAGCAGCCTGGACTCCAGCTCTATAGGAGCCGATGTCCTCTTCTAGCCTCTGCAAATATCCACATGTACATGCACACAAATTCAAACACAGACACTGATTAAAAATTAATAAAAATAAATCTTTAGGAACTGGAAGGATGGCTCAGTAGTTAATAAAATGTATTGCTCTTGTAGAGGACATGTGCTCACATACACATTTGCATACAAAATAAATAAATAAAAATGTAACAAGGCCACTCTTGGCCACATAATGAATTCAAATCCAGCCTGGGGTACAAGAGACCTTGTCTCAAAACAAAAACAAAAACAAACCAAAAAAACACCCCAAATTATAAAATTAAGTTATACACACAATGTGTGTGTGTGTGTGTGTGTGTGTGTGTGTGTGTGTGTGAACAAACTTTTATTTGTGGAGCTTGTGATCAAAGAGGATTTAATGCATGCTAGACAAGTGATCTACTATTGAACTGCATCCCCAGCCACGCAAAATTCTTTTCAAAAAATATTGTGCACAAGGTTAGTTAGAAAAGCAAAGGACTACTATGCCATGTAAGCAGTGCCACACTGAGTAGAGGGTCAGTGGTTGGTACCCCAATTCTGTCATACAGGGTTTGAATTTTGTTTTCTCATTATAGAGTCTTTGCCCTAAGCTTATCCATGATGCTTCCACCCTCTCTACATTTTTATTTTAAAAACAATATAAATATGGGCCAGGGATGTGGCTCAATTGGTAGTGTGCTTGCCTAGCACATATGAAGTCCTGGGATCCACTCCTAACACCACATAAAACCAGGTGTGTGGGCTAGAAGGATGGCTCAGTGGTTAAGAGTACTTGCTGCTTAACCATGAGGACCCGAGTTCAGATGCCAGCACCCAGTGTTGTAAGGGTCAGAGATAGGAAGATTGCTGGGATTTGCTAGATGCTAAAATATGATGAGCTCCAGGTTCAGGGAGAGATCCTACCTCAAAGGAACAAGGCAGAGAGTGATAGAAGAGAACCCCTGATTTCCTTCTCTGGCCTCTGTGAATACGTACAGGCGTGTGCACTTGCACAAACATCCCTGCTCCACAAAATCAGGCATGGTGGTGCATGCTTGCCATTTCAGCACTCAGAATGTACAGGCAGGAAGACCAGGAGTTCAAGGCCGGTTTCAGCTACATTGGGAGTTTGAGGCTAACATGAGACCCTCTCCTATCTCAAAACAACAACAACAACAACAACAACAACAACAACAACAACACAAACAAATCCCCAAAACAAAAACAAAGCTGGGCATAGTGGCGCATGCCTTTAATCCCAGCACTCAGGAGGCAGAGACAGGCAAATCTCTGAGTTTGAGGTCAGCCTGGTCTACAGAGTGAGTTTTAGGATGGCAAAGGCTACACAGAGAAACCATCTTGAAAAACAAAACAAAAAGACCCAGAGAGAAATGATATATGCAGAACACTGAGTGCAGCTAGCATTTGGTAAATCACAGTCATTGTTTTTCAGCACAGTGAGCCAGGGAGCCTATGCGGGCATCTTCTAGGGAACACATGATATTACAAACAGGAATAAAGACCCCACAGTTTTGGTTTTGTCTCATGTCTGATCCTCTCCCTCCCTTGATCACTGGGAACATAGATTCAGTTCAGGATCCAAAGCTTTGAAAGGTGCCTGCTGACCCCAATTTTTCTAAACTGGCTAGCAGAACATCACTGCTGTGGCTGTCCACAAGTCCTGGGGCAATGGTCTGGCTGGGTTCCATGTTCTTTTGTTTGGCAAAAGGTAGGCCACATAGTCCCTGGGACAAGAACAGCATTGGGGATTGCTCTTTTCATGCCCATTTTCAGCTGCTTTTATTTATTTATTTATTTATTTATTTATTTATTTATTTATCTATCTATCTATCTATCTATCTATCTATCTATCTATCTATCTATCTATTTATTTATTTATATAGAGATAGATCACATGTAGCCCACGCTGGACTCAAACTTGATATGTAGATAAGGATAACCTTGAACTCCAGATCCTCTGCTTCCGCTTATTGAATGCTGGGATGACAGATGTAGACCACAGTGCTGGTTAGTTTTAAATGTCAGCTTGCTGTAACCTAGAATCACTAGGGAAGAGTGTCTCAATTTTGGGAACTGTCTTTTTTTTTTTTTTTTTTTTGAGACAGAGTTTATCTGTGTAGCCCTGGCTGTCCTGTAGTTCACTCTATAAATCAGGTGGCCTCAAACTTGCAGAGGCCACCTGCCTCTGTCTCCCAAAGGCCTGTGCCCCCCCTTCCCCCCTTTGGGACTGTCTTGATTGTTAACTGATACAGCTCACTGTGGGTGACATCATTCCCTATGCTGGGCCCTGGAATATATGAGAGTGAGAAATCTTGCTAAGCAAAAGTCAAGCAAGTAGGAGCATGGGTACAGTCTTCACTCTTTGTTCTTTTTTTTTTCTTCTTTTTTTTGGTTTTTCAGGACAGAGTTTCTCGGCATAGCTTTTTGCGCCTTTCCTGGAACTCACTCTGTAGCCCAGGCTGGCCTCGAACTCACAGAGATCTGCCTGCTTCTGCCTCCCAAGTACTGGGCTTAAAGGTGTGCGCCACCACCACCCAGCTACTTTTCCGTTCTTGACAGTGACTAACCACCTAAGTTCCTGCCTTGACTTCCTGATGGACTGTAACCTGGAATTGTAAGCTAAAATAAACCCTCCTCTCTTAAGTTATTTTTGGTCAGGGTATTTTTTTTTAAGATTTATTTATTTATTTTAATGTATATGGTGCTCTATCTGCATGTACAACTTTATGCCAGAAGAGGGCGTCTGATCCCACTATAGATGGTTGTGAGCCACCATGTGGTTGCTGGGAATTAAACTCAGAACCTCTGGAAGAACAGCCAGTACTCTTAATTGCTGAGCCATCTCTCCAGCCTGGTCAGGGTATTTTTAAAAAATGCATTTTATTGCCAGATGGTGGTGGCACACACCTTTAATCTCAGCACTCGGGAGGCAGAGGCAGGAGAATCTCTGAGTTTGAGGCCAGCTTGGTGAACAGAGTGAGTACCAGGATGGCCAAGGCTACAAAGAGAAATCCTATTTTGAAACTCCCATCCTCCAATTATTTTTAAAATTTATTTTGGATTTTGAGGACAGGGTTTTCTTGTGTAGACCTGGCTGTCCTGGGACTAGCTTGGTAGACAACCAGGCTAGCCTCAAATTCGGATATCTTATCTGCCTTTGGCTCCCAAGTGCTGGGATTAAAGGCCTGTGCTACCATGCCCAATGAAATTCATTTTGTTTTTAATTATGTGTACTCGTGTCTCTGTGTGGGTATATGCATGTGAATGCTGGTACCCCTGGAGGCCAGAAGAGGAGTCAGATCCCCAGAGCTGGAGTTACAAGCGTTGTTGCTCCCCCTCACCCCCAAACATGGGTGCTGGGAACTGAACTTGGTTCCTATGTAGAACAGTAGGTACTCTTAACTGCTGAGCCATCTTTCAAAGTTCTGGTCATGGTACTTTATCCCACCAACAGAAATGAAAGTAGAAAAGCCACTAAGCCTGTTTTTTTGTTTTT